TCCCGACTTAAAATTTCTCTATAAAATAATTAGTTTTCATGTTATTAGATGCTTTTTATGACATATGTATGATGCGTATCAATTCTTACAATATTATTTTTAGTATTAGTATCAGAATAAACTAAATCATTTGTTAATAATATCATGAACCTTCACTGAACAGATACTTGGATGGCATATAGCCGTTTCTGTGCTCATATGGCTGGTGGAAGAATACATTTCACGCAACAACGCAGATTTTTTTCCATGATCAACTGTTTTAGATCGTGTCAAAGAAATCGTTCGCTGAACCTGAACAGAGTTTACTCAGGGGCTTTCCCGGCTTAAGAGGGGTGGGGTGGGGGGAGGCGGCCTTTCACAAACATTCAAAGGAAGGGACATCTCACAGGCGAAGCTGCCGTCGACACGCGGACGACTTAACGCACATCCATCACGTGCTATCCTGGCACCGTAGACGGCATTGCCCAGTGTGCGGAGTGATGAAGGCACACGCTACGCGTGACTTCGTGACTCCTCCCAAATTCACGTCGGTGGATCTTGGAATATCTACAGAACTTCACAAAACTAGAGTGGTCCGACTGGCGATCCGCGGTGCCATTTATTGTGGACAGCGAAAGGTTATTAGTCAAAAGTGAAAGTTCACCCATGGCGGCCGAGAACATCATGCGCTGTGCCGGGGACAATACCTTCTTCAATGTAAATATAGATTAAGTTTAGCAATAAGGATATTTTTCTAGTAAAATTATACATTCAAAATCATACCAAAGTGTTTCAATGCGTTATGCATGGCACGGCCCAATATCACAATAGGTTCCATTCCAGCCCACCCCCATGTTTGAGCAGCCAGGCAAACAAATTGAGGTCAACAATACGGGCAAGTCAGGTGTGTATCACCCGAGTGTATCACATGATGGCCCACAACCATGTTGGAGGTTTTATTTGTGGCTCTTGGGACCTTACAAGTTTAGACACCCCTGTTCTATGCTAATAATTGTAATAGTACGTGTTAATCTTGGTCATTGTCTTTCAGAAATTTTCCGAGTTGCGTGGAATCGAATATAGAGCGTGCTGGTTCGTTTGTAAGAGAAAGAAAAAGTAACGCTGGGTGACAATACACACTTGCGGCAGTCTAACAAATGTAACTATATTTTCGCCACATATTGGAAATCACTAAGTGAAAAGATCTCGTTGCTAACCAACCAGCGCTCGGAAATGACAAGAGTCGCAACATTCAAGTGAATATAAATTCGTAGCAGTCATTCGATGTGAGGCGGTGGATATGTCACGCAGGGGTTCATGTATGGGAAACTATTTTATTTTCGAAACACTTGTGCTTTTGATGCACATATTCTTGCGATTAAAATGCGATTGACAAGTTCATATTCTTGCGAAACACACATTCTTGTGCTATTGAAGTACATGTATTTGTGCCTAGAATCCCAGCTTCTCATTAAAAAGCTGATAATTCAATAATCATCTGTTTATTTTGTTTTAATACACGTTACATGAAAATACTTTAGATTAAAAACCTTTTGAACTTTATGAGCTTAAAATATAAAACAAATATTTTACCTTATTCAGTGGAGTCAAGTATAAATATTTGTTCAAATGTTTGCATAAACGTTTGAAGAAAACGTAAAAAATATCGTTTATTCGTTGGTGAAAGTAGCGTAGTTTTATAAACCTCAAAAAACTTTGAGTCTGCTCACAGTGGCGGAAATAATTCCCGGCAACAGTGCTCGATTTCACAGCACGTTTTGAAAAATAATTTCATCTCTGTTCTACTCTTATATTACAGGACTATCGATATTCCATTCAAGTTTTCTCTCGGAGCGGCTGTTTCGAAAAACAGCAGTGCTGGTTCTGTCTTTTTACTGAAGAAACAAATTTTGCTCTTGAGAAGATCATTAAAATATGAGAAAGCTGTTGCAAGTATTGCATACTTCCAAAGTTTTTGTACTTCTGTCACTGACGACAAAGAAGCCTTCCATCGCAAATATATAATGACACAATTTCTCACAACTTTGATTTCTTTGACTTCTTTGAATTTGACTTTCAGACAATTTTTTTAATTTTATTTTATTTTATTTATTTAACGACAGCACAATACTAGTGTGCTGTATTTAACGACAGCACTACATGGGAGTTTGGAGAGAAAAGTTAGTTCAGAAGCAAAGCACCGAGATATCAGCATTTGCTCAGTTGGTCAAAGGAAAATGAACAAACTATTTTATTGGGAGACTCTATATAGGCTTACAGTAAGCACAAGAACAAGTACAGCGTATGCATAGCAATATTTACATTGTTTTAAGTTTAGATTAACTGCGAAGGTGTCATGTAAGTGAGATATGAATGGAATTTTAAATTTTTAAAACGTAGGCCAGAGTGAAACTTGGAATGAAAATTACATACAAGAGTACTCGAACATAACCTTCATGACTTTTACGCGTTTATGCCTTTACGGTGCACAGAAGTCATATCGTTTTTATAAATTTCATTATTGCTTGCAAGATTTTCTAGAAAATAATCAAAAAGAACACAGAGAAGTAAATTAAGGCTGTGAGACGCGATCAATGTACTTCGCTATATGGTTTCGAAAGAAGAGTTCTGTATGACTTCTTAGGGCTCCTTAGGGAAGTTTGTGGCTCTTCAGTCTTTTCCTTTGCAGTGTACTTGGGCGCACTTTGCTCCAAGCCCCTCTTCGCCAACTGGTCGGCATTTTCCACTAAAACGTACTTTCACGCTTAAGTAATTTACAAACTGCAGAATGTTCCAGGCAGTTTGTAAAAATAAATGATAATAATAATAATAATAATAATAATAATAATAATAATAATAATAATAATAATAATAATAATAGACAAAAAAGTTGCGATTGTTCGTTAGTCACTCCTCTGAAGTTGTTTCTGTCGCGTTTTTCCAAGCGCATCTGTTGGCGCGGAAGGGAGAGTGAAGGAAAGGGAGGGAATTTCCATTGGTAGATTGAAAATATCCTGAACGTTCTTTGATTACTCATTCGTAACGACATTCTCTCAAAGCTGTAGTCGGGAAGCGCGGAGGGGTCGGCTGATTCAGAAAGCTGGGCGTCGAAGGGCTGCCGACATCTCACAAGACCTTGATATTTCTTGCATCAGCAGTGTTGTTAATTCTCAATGGGACTCTTTCCTCAATAAGGGGCCCGAATAACAATTTCAGTTGTCTAATTCTAACAACATGTTATCGAAATCTTCCTCTTTCGTGTCTGAGAGAGGAGCTTAGTAAATCGAAAAATGTTATAAAAACAATATCGCCCGCACCTTCTCTGCGAGCACTGCGCCTACATTGAGCAAGCCACAAAGAGTTGACACTGAAAAATGGTCGAAAACATGGTCGCGTGTTTGCGAACGTGCGACGCATAACAAGAATGTTTCAATGGCCGATAATAAGCCTGAAACTAGACGCTGAACTGCCAACGCACAACGCTCTTGATTCTTTTATTTGGATGCTGATTTCGACGCGTACACTTCTATGGACCCTATTCTGCTCATAGTGTTACCGTCTGGTCAATTTCAGTCATTAAATCTTGCTGAGTTCCATAACTTAGGGATCGGCATGAATGGCGGATGTTCGTGAATATAATAAAAGAAAAGGCGTCTAGAGTTTGAGTTCCATGTGTACAATTGCGATTGCAAATCCAAGGAATAAGTTATTGGACACGAAGGATGCGAGGATAAAGAAGCGCAATTATCGCCGAAATCGATCGCGCGCCCCTGGCACCGATCCACTTCATTGTCCAATAATTCCATTAATGTTCTTGAATATCTATACTGCTTGTAAATGATTGTTTAAGGTCACGGAAGTAATATTTTTAACATTGCAACATTCGATTTGGAAACTTCGCTTCCACCTACTAGAGATGGATAATACAGTTATTTTATTCAATAATTACGGAAGTAACACACATAATAACAATTTTCATACGTAAATAAATAAATCAGGTCGTCTTTGTGATGTATAAAAGAAACGTCAATATCGCAAGGAGAACCTCATCTTAATTAGAGAACAACTTGTTCAAAACTATTACTCAATAGTTTAATGTACATAACATGTAACTTCATTTCCGTGAAGAAACTTCAACTGTCCTAGTAAGAGACTCAAGTGTACTTTTTTCCGGGATTTGTCAATAGCCAAAACGGAATATGAGAAACTAAATTAGACGGACAGGATAAGAAAAATCTTAACACCAAAATAAAATTTAATTAGAAATGAGAAAGAGAGAATTCTTGTTTGAACATTGAAAATGTCTACTTTACATATCGGAATTATGTTAATTATGGAATGCCAACTAGGGGTACTACAACAGTGCGTATTTTCTCGCGGCAATAACAATTAAGTAAAATTATAATACCGCAGTTTATGTCGGTAATAACACCTCCCAGCCATCACTTGTAAAATTCATTATCAAACGTAGAACATCGAAAAATCGCTGTTTCCTCGCAGTGTTACAATATTTTCTCAATTCTGTGTAAGTAAAAATGTTGCATCCGCTCTATTTCACGGAACGTTTTTTACAGATATCACTAATTCGGTCGCTGCGATACGTCGCTTGGAGGCAAGAACAAACTAGCTTCCAAATGGCCGTAGAATTAGGGTGGAAGAAAAAAATGCAACATCTGCCGTCCATATACTATAGTACTAAGTTTTTGTTAGATTTTTGCTCATCTGGATGTGTTGAGCAAGCAAAGAGTAATCGCGTTTATCCTTAGGCCATGACCCAGATTATTAGGAAATGCGAACAGACGTTGCACTGAGATATTTTTGTTTACTGTTTCTATCCATTTCTGCTTCTTCTTCTACCGGGAGAGACGGCTCATGGCATCAACTGATGTCACTGCAGTCCCTCTGACGGTGTCAGGAGTTTCGACACTAGCTTGTCAGCTGGGGCGAATTCAGTCTCTGTCTTGAGAATTCTAACAGTCGGCTGGTCTGATCGGTTCTGATCTTTTCCGTGGTTTCTCCGTTCAACACCAGGCGAATGCTGGGGCAGTTCCCTATCAAACGGGCCTCGAACCGCTCGCGATCTTTCCTTCCTCTTCCTTGTCGCATCATCACCCCTTGCGCGCGCGCACACACACACACACATATACACACACTTACACTAACACGCTCTGCACTACCACAGGTGCCCGGAGGCCCTACTGTCCAAACTACCCTTCCATCTTGACTGGCTTGTTGACATATACACGTGTATAAATAAATATATATTATATATATTATATTATATTATATATATTATATTATATATATATTATATTATATATATTATATTATATATATTATATATATATATTATATATATATATTATATATATATATATATATATATATATATATAATATGTTATGTTCAGTGGGGTGAAGCCATTGTTTTTATTTACAGTATTCATTAACATGTCGATGAAGATTAAGACCTATTGCATTATTTCCTATTGTCTCAGGCAAAGATTTTGTTTATGTTAACGTATCCATAGCTTCCCATCATTCAGAGGTAGATATTATCTTCTTACATATGTGTTTGGTGAAGGAATGAAATTGTTTGAAAAGTCTTTTTGTTGATCTGTCCAGTTCCGCCAGTCCACTTTACAATGCCGAAGGAGCAGCTTTGCAAATCACTTCCGATATTTTATTTTCAGTTCCTCTTTGATACGATTATGGTTCAGTCGATGATTTCGAGGATTTCTCAAATGCTTCTTCAAGTGGTATATATCTGTTTATTATTGTAGAAAATTTGGTAACTTGTTTTGTGCTAATTCTTTTCTGAACATTTATTGTACTTTTATCAAGATCTAATACACATGTCATCATTGATCATATTTGTTATTTTTATAAGTTTATTATCATGTGTTTTAGCTTGGAGCTGCTTGTCATCCTTGGACAGTAAACGATTTAGTCATTTCGTTTTTAATTCAATCTACAGCTTTATTTAGCGTTGTTCAACGTGTTTCTTTTCCCAAAATATTGGTATTACCGTTTGTTCGTCCAATTATTTATTAATTTAATGTTGAATAGTACTTACACGTGGACATATTATATTCCAGTACTTTTGATTAGCTATTTATAAGAACCGGAGTCAAAATCTTGGCTGGATTCAATATAAAAGATGTCGAGAATTCCTTTTCCTGTGCTTTCATTTAAATAAGAGAATTAATGATGAATTGAGGTTTACGTCCCAACGCTCTCCTGAGGCAACGTTTCTATTATTCACAATGGATATTATATGCGCAGTGAACGTAACTGTTTTCCCCAATAACAGAGGTGAAGATTTTTTATTATAGTTGATAAACAATGTCAGTCTATAAAGTTTTCTGTTTAGTTTTAATCAATCGTGTTATTACACTTTTATAACTTCTACGCTTACGGCGTACTACTTAATTTGAATGGGACGTCCACGTTATGTTAAAAGTCCTTTTTAATGTCCTGAAGTCTTCGTTAACTTTCTCTTTGTAAATGGTTATTTCCTATTGCGCATCTGCACACACGTCTATGTTTTCCTACTCCTATTTTTTTTGGTTTTGGGATGTGAAATTCCAAGATAGTCCCGGGTGGCACAGGCTGTAGCCTCTAAACTGTGCTGATCATCACCGGTGCGGGATCACGGTCGTCGCTGGCAGCTCGTGGGGAGGGGGAGGGGGGGGGGCGGAACCCGCCGCGCGGCGCGACGGCTGATAATCCTGGGCTGAAGCGCCAGCTGCGCAAGATTTCCATGAGCCTCCTATCTAGCGCACACTGCCTCGTATTTGGTCCGCGATTCCACCGGCTTTAGCTCAGTCACCCACGAAGATCCTGAATCGTCTGACGGCCCCTGGAGTGTGCAGTTGAATTAGAAATACGAAAAGGCATATAGGGTAATTAACCCCAGAGGCGGCTCGTGGCTGTGTGAAGTTAGGTAAACAGCTAGTAAGGAAATATAAATTTACACATGTTTATTTTAATAAGTGAAATCGCTGATTTCTTGAACAGCAAATCGATTTTTCAACGTGGTGGACTTGTGATATCTGCATTGATCTGTTTTTTATTGACTGCTGAACTTTCTTCTGAATTACAAGATTCCACAACGAAACAGAGACACCTGTGTACCATGTGTATCTGTCATATCTACCTAAACATAATCACAATGGGCAATTTTATTTGTACTTCATAACAGAGGTAAAAGTAGACATCATTCTACCGATATTTTTGCAAGTCACAACGATGTCCCGCAGAAAAAAAGTTGAATACTTCTGAAACGCTGATACAACTTGAAAACTGTCACTAACGACGAACAGAACATTCTCCTTCACTGCCAAGAACCAGGTGCTAACGAAGAACTGTCGGTATTGCCACCAGTGTAAATAACAAAGCAATATGCAATAGCGACACTTTTGCCACGTTGATGAAATACTGTACTGTAAGATGTCGTTGCTGGAAGGTAGGCGAATCTGCAATTCTGGAGGGTGCATAACTCAAAATTCGTATTTTTACTTTCTCGCGCTTACGTAGGTTCTTCGTAAGAAGAAAAAGTTACATAATCGTGCGCCGAAAAACGGCGAATTTTCGGCTGAAAAACTCGTATTGCCGGGCCTTGGTAACGAAAAAGTGAATAAATCCAGTTGCTAAGATATAGAAAAAAATCGTCTAACACGTGATATAATCAGAATCCAAATTTTGTAGGCCCTTCGTTCAGAAAAATCGATTGACGGCAAAACGTCTGCCCGTCCGTCCGTCCGTCCGTGGATGGTCAGCGCTAGCGGCCATGCACGGGACTTTCTCCAAAATTGATATTCCCAGATCGATCTCAACGAACTTGAGGCTCAGGGAGATTGAACCGGATATTTTGATTTTTGATGTACTTCACATGAAGCGAGCATTTACGTTTTTAAGTATCGGCCCGAGTTAGTCCCATACGGCGCTTCTGTGACTTATTGGTATGAGTGACGGCGAGTAAACTCTGAGAATCTGAGTTTGGGTGTCGGAGCGGAAATTCTTTTATTTCTGGTTGAAAACACTTAAGCAGGTTTATGTAATAGCATAACATAGCGGAGGAGTTAGAATTGCGAGAACGTATGTGCTCGTGTAGCACCAATAGTTAGAGTTGTGCCACTATTGCAGCCCACGGGCTGGTACATCTGTTTCACTTCTGAGGTTCCCAGACAAGGTTATCAAGAGTAAATTTTTAATAATCTATATTGAAGGGTTGATTTCGCTGATGGATCTAAAACTGAGCTATGTGCTGAGACCTTAAAAAGCGCAAACCATTGTTCCAAGTGGACGTTGTGTGTAAAACGTTTCCAACGTGATGTTAGCAGAAATGTTTTTCTTTCACACGTGATTACTCTGAAAGAATTTGGAGTGAAATTGTAACTATATTATCATTTGTCGAAACTATTATTATTACTATTATTATTATTACTATTATTACTATACATTATTACTATTATTATTATTATTCCTCTCTACCACGACTAAGATGTTAAGAGTCTGCTGAATATAAAATCTACTCCAGGTTGTAACTAGCTATCTAAGGAGCAGATCTAGTGACTGTCGATGCCTCTACAACACTTTGTGCAAAATGTTGGCTGTTCTAGATAAAGCAATTTCTTGCACTTGCCAGTTTTTTGAATGACCTGGTTGTTTAGTCAAGTTCTTACACAAATTTTACGGAATAAATCTCAGAGCTCCGATGACTGTCGAGACGACCTGTGCTTTTACGCCCCACGTTCGGCTGATCTCGATTTCCAAACACTTGTTAAATACTTACACTTATTTCTCTGCCTCGTTGGTTTCGACGTTTTGATCGCAAGGCACTACATCTACAAGTAGACACGATTTCTTCTCCAAATCCCGGATAACAATATCGGATTTGTTTGCTGCTATCGTGCGATCCGTTTGACTTTGTTAGTAGTACAATACTGAATAAAGTCCACCAGATGTCGCCGGTTTTGGTGAGTACTCGTACCACTTGGGGCATGTGTTTGGAACTTCGAGGGCGATTCAGATTTGCCAGTGGAGGAAACTACACACCTTGTCGGGTCTTTTCAAGTATTCGGTCCTTGGTAGAACTGGAAAAATTGAGACGATACGATCAATGGTTTCTACTTGTTCCGGGCAGATGCGACATTTATCATCTTTTTTATATTATTATTATTATTATTATTATTATTATTATTATTACTATTATTAATTTAACATCAAACTTCTACAAATATTTTATATTCCAAAAAGAAGTATATTTTCTATGAAAATGTATTGGAAGGGGAATCTCGTAATTCTCATTGATTATTGACAAAATTAAAGAAGTCTGTCATTGAGATTCTTCCCCCTCATAAATTTTCAGCTCGATTCATTCACTTTACGGTCTTCATTCGTAATCTATATCACCATGAATCATTGTTTAATGGAGTATAAGAAAATTTATTGAGTTACGTCATGTATCTCAGATATATAATGCTGGCGACATATCGGTATTCTTTATATTACCGTTTATGAGTTACGCTTCTTTAATCTGAAATTCTCGGAATAGGGTTTTAGGGCAGTTGTCTGTGATCTTGGATTGATTTGATAACCAATGCACGATTGCACGTTTTTGTCTTGTTAGACTTCGATTGAACTGCTATTAAATGTCCGGGTACAATTTATACTTTAATTTGTGAATAAAAAGAATATCTTACGAAATCCACTAAACACAGATCATTGAACTGGGAAGTGAGAAAACGTGCTTAGAGGTTGCACAGCCAATTTAATTTATTTTCACATGTAACAACACATACACTTTTCATATTCTACAATGCAAAAACGTTTATTTTTATTTTCCTGTCACGCATGACCAGTTTATTTATTTTTATTTATTTACGTCAAAAACAGTTAAAAACTGTGTGACGTGCTATGGGGAGAAGTTAATTTGATGTTACATTAATGTTCAGAAGCAAAACAAGGGGGCCATCTCAGCATTTGCTCGAGGATCAAGGAAAATGGACGAAAACCTGATCGAGATGGGGGTCATTGACCCACATCCTGAAGTAAAAGTTTCCGTTTGCGCGAAGAAAAGAAAAAGGATTACTTTTTCACTGCGGACACCGTTTTTCATAGATTCTTCCCCTCTTATAGCTTTTCATTAATTCAAAGGATTTCGATGATGGAATAACCAAATTCAGTTTTCTGCTTGTGAGCTATATTTACTGCATAAAATCCCTTAAAAAGCAATGTAAATAACACTAGCGATGGGAAAGATAATGCCCAAAATCAAGTGAACTGTAATACGAACTAGACCATGACTTAAACTCCGCTTTTCTTTTGCCTAACATACGTAAAAGAAACTTTTGGAACACATGATCCGTAATGAAACTTGTACAAGCAATGTCTAAACCTCAGCAAATCGTTATAAATTAAGCCCTTTCGAGCATTCTTAATTTTTTGTTTCTTAATGGAACTATTTATTTACACATTATACAATACAATAATGGAAATACACATTGTTGAGAATAAAACTATCGCAGTCTAAAAATCATAGGAAATCATAACTATAAAAATAGTCATTCTTCAGGTTAGTCGTTCAGGTCTGTTCTTAGAGGGGTACGTCTCCTCAATCCATTCAATTGCTGTCGGTGTCAAACACAGGAAATCGTCGGATCTCCATCATTAATTGTTCTTTTACATCTCTCCACCATGTGACGCAGGGTCGGGTGGGGTGGGGGGTGGGGGTGCATCACACTCTGGAGACAGTACCACGCCCCTTTAAAGAAGGAAGCCGCACACCGTGTTGTTGTTTTTTTTAAATCCTTATTTGACTTATTTAGTCTTTCAAGTGTTTTCATATATACATAATTGTTTTCCATGTAGAGTTTATACATATGGAAATAACATTTTTTACTTTGTTCAATAAACATTTCTGAGGTTGCCCCTTTTAGGGACCTCTAACATTCATACAATAATTTTTCAGTTTTTTAAAATATGCATTTACGTCATTCGTAATGATTTCTTAATGCCTAATCGGTTTCTTAGTAGCTAATCCTGATGGTCTCTCCCTTTCTGCCTGGGCGTGTCTTCGGGTAGGAGGAGTTGTATAGTCCACAGCTGCTCCTCCGCTCGTCAACTGTTGCGTAAAAGGAGTCCGGCGCTGCTGCTCCGTTGGCGCTGACGCGCGCTTTCTCAGCGGCCGCGCGCGCTAACGAACGGAGAAACCGTTCCACGCCGGTCACGACCGCGCCGACGTTCGTTTGACAGACAAATCACTACGCACGGCGCCTACTCACGAAGACGCCTTCGACAGAAGTTTCGAATGGAACGGCGGCGTACTTTTTGTTAGTGTACGCCAACTGATCCAGAAAAGTTATCAGCAACATTAAACTAAAAGAAACTGGATGAATATAATAATGATAATAATAATAATAATAATAATAATAATAATAATAATAATAATAATAAAAATTCATATTTCAAGGCTTAACGACCTTCTCTTACTAAGGGATACAGCTGAAAAGCTTATCCCTATAATGACTCATGTTAATCTTTCTCCAGCATAACATAGAAGAAAACGTGTAGCATGGTTAGAAATGGCCGATACGATAATAATAATAATAATAATAATAATAATAATAATAATAATAAATAATAACAATAATAATAACAATAATAATAATAATAAACAAAAGGAAAAACAAAAGAAAATATATTGTAAAGAAATCATTTCGTGTTTGGAACATCATGATTCGCAGATCGGCTTAAAAGTTATGAGGACGGAAGTTGCAAGGTGGAAAACATACCAGTTTCCTTCTAGGGAACCTAGTTGCCTTGCAATGTTTGCAAAATACAATAGTTTATTCGCATGTCGACTAAATAGTGCAAGAAAATGTAAAAAGTCAATGTCATTTACAAAAGATAGTCTAAAAACTGAGTATACACTCAGGTTTTCTCTCTTATTTTGGTGTATCCAAACGGTGCAGTGGGAATTAACGGCAATAAAATAAAGCAGAATCCTTATTCCTTCATTTTCACCAAAAAAGCAACAAAAGCGAATACATCTATACTAATTAAAACTAGAAAATCATGCGTCATATTGAGGCGCAAAAAGTGTTTGTGCGCGCCAAATATTTGTTACAAAACAACGTTCTTTTAATACTTTGTAGGATAGCGCTTAGCATATCACGTAGCCTCGCTGACGAGGATATCAAAATTGTTTCGCATATTGGGGTATGGAATGCTGTTAAATTATATTTTTAATGCTCTCTTTGAAAAGCTGTTTATTGTAATTTTCCTTTCTCGAATGTTTGTTTTTAAGATCTCCATAAGCATTTACTCCATCAATAATCTGTAATTGCTCCTCACTTAGATACCACATGTGCACCAAACTAGTCGTGTTTGACAATGGAAATTAAATTTGGAGACTCCATTTCAGTATTTTCCATTCATACCATTCGTCGACTATGTGATCCCAAAATGCAGAATGTGCTCTCGTCTGAAAATACGACATTTCTTCAATCTTTCTCGAAGTTGTCATGATCTTCTGCAACCAATACAAGTTTTTGAGAAGCCGCCCAAACGTCTTTTGAGAAATGCGTCCATGGTATGAAATGGGTGTGATAGGATTAAAAATACTTGTGTAAACAAGAGTGCTATGTATTCATAAGCATTTTAAAGTCCAGAAAATCTTGATGTTTGGAATCTTAGATGATATTACGAGAGTGATAAAACGTTCTGCTGATGAATGGTATTTGTAACTAGAGATAGCATAATTACATTTAATAGCTGTATTAACGTGTGTATATTTTGCAATTCTAAAATTAATACTTTTTTCAGACTCGTTTGATTTCTTTTTACCCACGTCTCACCAGTATCTTGATAATTTTGTATAAACAGTTTACTTTCTCAGAGAAATATCTTCAATTTTTTCCTGCTCTTTTCGCACAATACATTTTCCCGTTCTTGTGTTTTACATGATAAGTTATTTTCGATTTTTATTTCGTACGTATTCGTAGTAAAAATTTTGTTGCAGTACACGTTATCTCTAACTTCAGTGGAAAGTTCATGAAAATATCTAATCCAACGAAGATTGAACATGCAAGTAAAACGTATTTATACATAAACACTACCGAAGATCGTTCTTGAGTTGCTACACAGCATCTCTCACCTTGCGCAAATTTTCCCGGAGAGATCGTCTCGCGTATTGGGTGGAGGCGATATCTGTTCGGTGTGTGCGTGTTGTCTGGAGGAAGTTGGGGCAGGCGGGGGAAAAATCCGTCCGCTCCGTGTTGTGTTTGCTTCCCGCCTCTGAGAGAACGAACGGCTGTCAAAGGTCGCGGATGATACCGCGTGCCAGATAAGGAGAGCAGCGCCTCGAGAGCAGCTGCGTTCGAATAATGCTGCGAACGGCGCACTCGGGGATTTTATGACCCTGCTTATTTTATGTTTTTTCAGTACGACCGTATGCGATGTAATGTGTATTTTCTGCGTTTTAACTTCGAAAGGTCTCCAATTAGATGATATCCACAAATTGGATTTATAGTACTATCATTTCTTGAAATTAACGTTCATTATTCATCGCACATCAATCGTGTTGTTTAATGTTTCTGATATTGACTCCTAAATCCTACTTTTCCCATGTTAGATAACAATATACAATGAACTAGAGAAATATCGTTTCTGGAATATTGAAAGGACGATGGAATTCGTATAATATCTTTGGTTGATTTTTCTATTTTGCATCCATTGTTTGAAATACCTAAAATAATTTTGATGGGTTTTGGTAGGGTTAATTTTCATTGCTTCTTTGACATACTCGAGTATGTTCGGAAAACGACACCCTGGGCGATCGTGACTTCGTACAGAATAGCTATGAGTCGCGGTAACAAGACCTAAGGACAAACCCACGCACCAGCTACATTTAGGCTACACTTGTTATAGGTAGTTGCTCCAGAGCGTATGGATGTAAAATAGATTGGGTTACGTGTGTCCCCAAAATATATTCGAATTTTTTCTATAAATTACGTTATTTTTACTATAAAAACAGTTAAAATAATTTATTTTCTTCGGACGTTCGTGACATAAATAAAAAAATCTATAATTTGATGAGAAAATATCTATTATTTGTAAAATGCTTAGTTAAAAATTAACATCATAGGTGTCAGCATTATGAATCTTGTAAATGTAAAATAATTTGCTATTTTACTTTGTATATTAACACTGTAAAATTACAGTGTAATAACTAGTGAATACAATGGAGATTAGAAGTTCGACTCACATGTTTGGAAGAGGAGAACGTTTTGAAATATGCACTTTGCATGAGAGGCATTACACTCCAGTGAAATTGTGACGTCTCGGTTTGTAAGAGGGCGAGTTGCCACTGTGTGCTAATCATGGCATACGCATTTCCATTTTTAGTAAAGATGACTACTTTGCTTTCCGTTCTAATGAATTTTAGTGATATCGTTATTAGTAATTCAGAACAAGCCTGTGACTTACTCATTCTGCATCTTTCGTCAGTAGAACATTGAAAAGCTCATCTACTTGAGCTTGCTACATACACCAGTTGAGATGAATGGTTGCAGGAATTTAGAGGACGGTATTAATTATTGGAATACCTAATTATTGGATTTGTTTTTAGAGCACTGCATAATTTTTATTAAAACTCTTTTAAATTATGTCGATCAGTCTGACTCTTTGTACGAGTTTCAAAATCTTAAGAATGTTATTTTAAAATGACTTTCTTTTCTAATCTACAGGTTTATACATCCTAAAGCTCCCAGACTGTAAGATTACAGAAAGGAATTGTATGAAAAATTCGCGAATTCCACCACTTCTACTTCTACTTCTTGTATGCCTGACTTAAGTAAGGAAGTCTATTATTACGTGGCCTCTGGAGTTACGAATCAGTGGTTTTTGTCAATAATGAACTTACTCAAGGGTCGGAACATATTTGCGACCAATACAGATATCTCTAACCAAACCACTCGACGTAATAATAATGTTAATCAGTGTTAGAATCAACAGCTCACTTCAAAAACTTCTGGTACAATCAGGTGCGGATTTAGGCATAAGCACTTGCCCATGACTGAAAGTTTTATGCATCTAATTTTTACACCTCACGTGTATAAAAATAAATGTAGTTTTAATAATCTGCTAAAAGGTCTTATTTCGTTCATATTTCGTAGAGTAGATGGACAACATAGATGTAGACATCTATGTTATTTTAAGACTTTTCTTAATAACTTTTTAACAACTTAATAACTTTCTTAATAACTTAAGAACAATGGCAGATTAATAAATACGCATAACTAGAAACAAAATAAGAACGAGGAATTTATGAAATTTCTATGCACCACGAATAAACTTGGGGAGAAACGTGACACGAAGTATAAATTCTGTCTTATGGAACAAAACCATCACTAACACTACTAAAATACGTCTTTACCCCACACTAGTTAAGAGTGTAACAACGTGCGGTTCAGAAGTTTGGGAGGTTGACAAAAGAACAAAAGGGAAGCTGCTAGCCCTTGAAATGGACTTCTGGCGTAGAAGTTGCTGTTACAGCAGACGTGACAGAATCAGGAACGATGACGTAGGAAAGAAAATGGATGGAAAGAAATCTATCCTTGACGAAATAGAGAAAAAACAAATCGTCTGGTACGGTCATGTCATGCGAATGCCAAACGAATGATGGCCAAAACGAGTCCTGAAATGGGTGCCGACAGAAAGAGAAGAGAGGAAGAACCAGACTTGCATGGCAGCAGGGAGTGCAAGAGGTTATGACGGCAAGAGAAATGCAAGATGATCTACGGTCAAATAGAGAGTCATAGAGATTGCGAGCGGAGAAACGGCGATAGCTGTAGAGCAACTCCGTACTATATATAAAAATATTATATAGTATGTTGTACACTACAAAAATAATATTAAACATAATACAAAATATGTTAGTTATTTCACATAAATCGATGATTTCCCCCCCCCCCCCCCNNNNTGTTCGGCCGTATCTGCCCCTGACAGTATTTGACTGTTTTTGACAATAAATTTCCCCGAGCAGTTCTTTGCCCCAAACAATGGAGGCCCAAAACCGTGTCACCTTGCCGACGCTAATTCTTGCGAGAATTGGTGGAGAGTTGCGCGCTCTGTGGGCTGGGAGACAAATGGAGCGGTGCAGGGCCCCGTTATGCTCCGCGGCCGTGACTACGACCAACCGCCCAGTCATGCGAGAGAGGTCGCGGGGGCCAAAACCAGCTTTCTAGGGCCGGCGTTTGTTTGAGGACACTGATTCCCCAACTTCTGCTTTCCAAAGATCTCTCACAGATGGTACGATGTCAAGTGTAGGAAGCGTAATTTTTTCCACGAATTTATTTCATGATTGTTTTGAGCACAAAAATGAAGATAAGTAAACTTATTTTGGTTACTTTATCACCTACTACACCGAACAGTTTTCCATTCCATAGTATTAGATTTGTAA